GAAGCCTCCTTTCCAGCACTCCAGAGTAAACTTTCCTGGGGAGGCTGAGAAGTGTGATACCCTGATCATTGGAACACACTCTCCGGTCCCCCTTTTTAAAAATGGGAACCACCACCCCGGTCTGCCACTCCACAGGCACTGTACCCGATGCCCACGCGACATTGAAGAGACGTGTCAGCCATGACAGTCTGACAATGTCCAGAGCCTTCAGCATCTCAGGGCGAATCTTGTCCACATCTGGCGCTTTGCCACCGAGGAGCTTCTTAACTATCTCGGCGACCTCTACCATGGATATGGATGCAGAAGCCCCCAAGTCTTCAGGCTCTGCCCCTTCAGCAGGGGACGTGTTTACCGGGTTCAGGAGTTCCTCAAAGTGCTCCTTCCACCGCTCAACGAGATCCCCAGTCTGGGTCAGTAGTTCTCACCCGCGACTGTACACAGCCTGGGCGAATCCCTGCCTCCCCTTTCTGAGGCGTCAGACGGTTTGCTAGAACTTCTTTGGGGCCAACTGAAAGTCCTTCTCCATAGCCTCCCCGAACTCCCCCCACCCCCGAGTTTTAGCTTCTACAACCGCCACAGCTGCAGCCCTTTTGGCCAGCCAGTACCTGTCTGCTGCTTCAGGAGATCCCCGAGCCAACCAGGCCCAAAAGGTCTCCTTCTTCAGTCTGACGGTTTCCCTCACTGCCGGTGTCCACCAGCGGGTTTTGGGGTTGCTGCCGCGACAGGCACCAGTGACCTTCTGGCCACAGCTCCTAACGGCTGCTTCTGCAGTTGAGGCTTTGAATATGGCCCATTCTGACTCCATGTCCCCAACCTCCCCCGGGAAGTGGGAAATACTCTTCCGGAAGTGGGAATTGAAAACCCCATGGACAGGGGCCTCCGCCAGGCATTCCCAGTTCACCCACACTACGCGTTTGGGTTTACCAGGTCTGTCCGGCAGCCTTCCCCGCCATCGGATCCAACTCACCACCAGGTGGTGATCAGTTGACAGCTCTGCTCCTCTCTTCACCCGAGTGTCCAAAACATACAGCTGCAGATCTGATGATACGACTACAAAGTCGATCATCAACCTTTGGCCTAAAGTACTCTGGTACCAAGTACACTTATGAGCAACCTTATGTTCGAACGTGGTGTTTGTTATGGCCAATCCCTGGCTAGCACAGAAGTCCAAAAACAAAACACAGCTCGGGTTCAGATCAGGCAGGCTGCTCCTCCCAATCACGCCCCTCCAGGTTTCCCCGTCATTGCCCATGTGAGGATTGAAGTCCCCCAGGAGAACTATGGAGTCCCCAGGCGGCACCCCTTCCAGGACACCACCCAGTGACTCCAAGAAGGCCGAATACTCTGAACTGCCATTCGGTGCATAAGCACAAACAACAGTCAGAGTTTTCCCCTCTGTAACACGCAGTCGCAGAGAGGCGACCCTCTCGTTCTCCGGGGAGAACTCCAACAAGGTGGCGCTCAGCCAGGGGCTTGTGAGTATCCCCACACCCGCCTGGTGCCTCTCACCATGGGCAACTCCGGAAAAGGAGAGAGTCCAACCCCTCTCCAGGAGTATGGTTCCGGAGCCCTTGCTGTGCATGGAGGTGAGCCCGACTATATCTAGCCAGTAGCGGCCACCTCCCGCACCAGCTCAGGCTCCTTCCCCACCAGTGAAGTGACATTCCATGTCCCCAGAGCTAGTCTACGCCACCAAGGGGCGGTACGCCAGGACGCCCGCTCCTGCATAGCACTCGACCCCAATCCTCTTCCTGAGGGTGGTGGCCCCTCTGGGAAGTGGCCCCGTGTTGCTTTTTCAGGCTGTGCCCAACCAAGTCCCATGGGGCCCCAAGGTTCGGCCACCAGATGCTCCCCGGTGAGCCCCCCCTCCAGGCCTGGCTCCAGGGGGGTGCCCTGGTTTATGGGATCTGTAGTTTGTGTGTTATCAGTGCTTCATATCGCTGGGTCATTAATAACAATAACAATAGATCTGTCTAAAATGATGTCGCGGGCTGAATATAGTTGTACGCAGGGTCGGATGTGGCCCGCGGGCCTTGAGTTTGACATATATGAATTAGCCGGACATGAAAACCAAGCACGTACACATGAACAGTATCCATGAGCGTTTGTGCTCCGTGTGCACAAGTAGGGTCTTGCGAGTGCGAGGCTGTGATGTGCACTGCTCTTTCTCAGACTTTGGAAGCAGGACCGTGGCGGAAATCTGCTCCTTTGATTGGCCAGTTATAGCTCTCCATCATGTCTCCATCCTCAGAGGTTATGAGACATCATTCGCCGGAGTTTTCAGATATGATCGTTTTCGGTGACTTGTCACTTCGTAACTTCAATACAATAGCAGAGACGAAACAGAGTCATGTGTGGAGCTACTTCAGCTCCACAAACAGCCAAGATACTTTGTGATGTTGGTTGAAAAACAGTAAGTTGTGGCAACACAACACACCTTGTGAAACACCTCAAGTCAAACCACAACACAGAATACGAGGCATTTATGATGAGGTGGACAGAAGAGGGGAGTAGTGATGTTCGCTACTGCCAATTTCCTTTCTGATCCGAGTGAAATGCAGGCTGATACCAATCCGATACCAATACTTAGTTTGTACAAATACACCTAATGTGTCTGTTAAATCTATTTTAAAAAAAGTAGTGTATTTCAAATCATAGCTTCATAATTATACAAGACATCAGAGTAATTTATTTTAAACTCAGAAGTATATTGAGGTAGCAGCCTCATTTACAATATAGCCGAACTAATAGAACAACAGAAAACCCAAACAGAGGACATATATAATAAATGCCACAATAATTGCACAAATTTGTCAATAACTACATTTTAAAATATTCATTTAACAGTTCAAGCAAATTAGACTGATTGTAAACAATAATAGATATTTTATAGATGAAATGTTATTTTTATCCATCTTTTCTAGAATATATTTTTCTAAGTTCACCATGGTAAATGGTAAATGGTCTGCACTTATATAGCGCCTTTTTCTACCTTCGCGGTACCCAAGGCGCTTTACAATGTGTTTTGCATTCACCCATTCACACACACATTCACACACCAATGGTGACAGAGCTGCCATGCAAGGTGCTAATCTGCCATTGGGAGCAACATAGGGTTCAGTGTCTTGCCCAAGGACACTTCGGTATGTGGGGGGGGGGACCGGGGATCAAACCGCCAACCTTGCCATCAGTGGACAACCTGCTCTACCACCTGAGCCACAGCCACTGTTTTATCGCAAACTGTATAATTAATTGACACCTAATCTATGTAATGCATTTTAAATTGTTTAGGAAACCTTACCTGAATTAATCTAGGCTTTTTTTTTTTTTGCCAATGTGAGATTATCTCAGTGATACACATAGTATTACTCCAAGCTGGAGTCCTGCAGCTATTTGTTGAAGCATGTATTTATTTAGTTACTTATTTCATAACCATATTTATTCATTTGAACAACAGCAACAGTGCTGAATGGTGCTCAAAGCTCCACATGCCCTCCCTCTGTACCTGGATAGTGCTGAATGACTCCTCCGGAGAAATATTGACTTTTGATATTCAGTCATTTGAGGTAATATAGAATATCATTACGAGGAGCACAGTGGAAAGTAGCTAAATTATTGAGATCGTGTCTAAATGACACGCAGTTGGTGGGAACTACTTTTTCTTCCGCCTGGGTATGTGCGTAATGCATAAGTGCAGTGACACGGTGCTCAGTCAGTCAGTCTCAGGCAACGTCTACACATAGCTGGGTATTTACGTAATCGGATCTACGTTTTCAAAAATAACATTGTTCACACCAGATTGTTTTCAAAAAAATATTCGTTGACACAAACCCAAATCAGAATCCTGGAAAAAAACACAACAATGAATGGCACGAATTACTTCCTGTTACTTTAATGACAACGGCATGAGGGTCGCTTGTTTGGACCGACAGAGAAGTGGAGCTACTCTTAAATGTAGTGTTAGAGTACAAAACAAGTAAAATACTTGAAAATATTGACTGGAAAACATGTTAATCCAAGTATATGGACTATAAACATGGGTCACACACATATGACGCTGATGACACTTTTGTCACATACTGTGACATCAAACTCTGTCTCCTCCTGTCTACATACAAACGTAAAGACGGAGTTTTTCCAAATCTCCACTTTTGCCAGAGTTTTCAGATATGATCACTTTCGGTGACTTCTCGCTTCGTTTGCGTGTAAACCAAAGGCCCAAACACATTGCAATATCACCGTTTTTGCTACATGTAAATGGGGCCTCAGTCTGTTGACACAATAGCAGAGACTAAACAAGAGGAGAGCAGGGTCAGGTGCTGCTGCTAGAGCAGGACAGACATCTCTGGAGGAGTCCTTCAGTGCTGCAGGCAGCAGAGGGAGGGCATGCGGAGCTTTGAGCACCATTCAGCACTGTTGCTGTTGTTCAAATGAATAAATATGGTTATAAAATAAGTAACTGAATAAATACATGCTTCAACAAATAGCTGCAGGACTCCAGCTTGGAGTAATAATATGTGTATCACTGAGATAATCTCACATTGGAGAAAAAAAAAAAAAAAGCCTAGATTTATTCAGGTAAGGTTTCCTAAAGAACTGATCATTTAAAGTGAATTACATTGACTAGGAGTCAATAAATCATACAGAGCAATTGCGATAAAACAGCCATGGTGAACTTAGAAAAATATATTCTAGAAAAGATGGATAAAAAAAATAACATTTCATCTATAAAATATCTATTATTGTTTACAATCAGTCTAATTTGCTTGAACTGTTAAATGAATATTTTAAAATGTAGTTATTGACAAATTTGTGCAATTATTGTGGCATTGATTATATATGTCCTCTGTTTGGGTTTTCTGTTGTTCTATTAGTTCGGCTATATTGTAAATGAGGCCGCTACCTCAATATACTTCTGAGTTTAAAGTAAATAAATTACTCTGATGTCATGTATAACTCTGAAGCTATGATTTGAAATACACTACTTTTTTTTTAGATTTACCAGACACATTAGGTGTATTTGCACAAAGTATTGATATCAGATCGATATCGCCGATACCAGACTGCATTTTATTCAGTATCGGATCGGAAAGGAAATTTGTGGTATCCAGCATCACAAATGTCAGGGTTTCTTTGCCCTGACCTCAAGTTCACAGGCTTGTTCATTCTGGCTGCATACCACTCTGCTGCTCTTGACCTCAGTAGTTATGCTGCCATCAGGTGGTGCTATGCCCCTAGAGTCTTTGAGGGCACACGACATTGTCTGGTTTGCGAGAACAAGATGAATTTGCTGAGTTTGTGGGTCGCTGAGTAAAAACTTTAATGATGGCTTGCAGGCGGCATAACTACTGAGGTAAAGAGCAGCAGATTGGTACGCAGCCAAAATGAACAAGCTTGAGCACAGACTCACAGGCTCTTACAAATCTTTACACATTGACAAATCTCACGACAGAAACACAGATTGAGATGCAGACACACAACTCTCCATACAGATTTACAAATAGTTTTGCTACAATAATAGCCCCATATGAAAGTACCAACAGAAACATTAAAACAACTCATATCTGCCACTGTCCCACCTCCACAGTCAAAAAATTAGATTTTTAGACGACTGAATTTCTGCATTTGTGCTCGCAGAGCGATCATGGACAACGTTATTTTTGCTTGTGCACGTGTCTTGTTTCAGTTAAAATTACTAACAAAACAACAGGAAAAGTGACTCACCTTTATATAAGACGTCTGTCCATGTTGTATTTAGTTCTCCGTCACTGTAGATGAAGCACCGTGTCCCACCAGGTCTGTAACTGAGGTACCTGAGCGCAGACCGTCCCTTTTTATTCTGTTGAATGATGCTTTCACTTTTGGTTTTATGATCACATGGTTTACTTGGGGCATCCCCCAGGGGTCAGTATTGGGTCCAAAACTGTTTTTGTTATATATAAACGACATTTGCAAAATATCAAAGTATTAAAATTAGTTTTCTTCGCAGATGACACAAATATTTTTTGTTCGCGGAGTGATTTACAGAAGCTACTGGGAAACATCGGTGAAATGTGCAACTTGAAAAAGTGGTTTAATATAAATAAAAATCATTAAACCTAAGTAAAATTAAATTCATGTTTTTTGGCAAAAGGCAGATACAGAGCAGAGCAGATGTGAGCAGATACAGGTAGACGGGGTGGAAATTGAGAGAGTTCATGAAACTAAGTTTCTTTGTGTTACTATTGATGATAAAAATGAACTGGAAATCTCACATAAAACACGCTAAAAAAAATATCAAGAAGCATTTCAGTAGTCAGTAAAGTAAAACACATTCTGGACCACAAATCACTCCACATTCTATACTGTTCACTGGTTTTACCATATCTGAATTACTGTGCAGAGGTTTGGGCCAAATCATATAAAGGTCACTATCAACACTACAAAAAAGGGCAATAAGGATAATTCAGAAAACTGGTTATAGGGATCACACAAATTCACTCTTTTTAAAATCAAAAATACTAAAATTCACAAACCTGGTTCATTTTCAAACAGTACAGATAATATACAAATCTATAAACGACCAAGATTTCGTACAACACTCAAGTCATTTTGTCTTTCAGTATGTGGCGGGAGGTTGTGGAACAGATTAGAGGTGGAGCTCATGCAATGTCCAAGCATGACCCAGTTTAAAAAAACAGTACAAAAATTTGGTTCTCACTCGGTACATGGAGGAGGAAGGGCTTTGATTGGGGTATATCATTGATTATTTAATATTTGTTTATTTATGTTATTTATTTTCTTTTTGTTTCTAAATATGTAAATAAATAACTATGGAAGTTGGGTACTGAGTGACTGGAGATCGAGACTGGGAAGTGGGAGGAGTAAATAAGTTATCCTTTATCCTACTCCTTTTTGGATATGTTGGGTAATTAGATGTTGCTTTGTTTGGTTATGTTGCTTTGTTTTGTTGCTGTTTTGAATATTTTGATTGGTTTCTGTGGCTTTTTTGGGGTTTTTTTCTCACGTCCGGAATAAAAACATTCATTAATTCATTCATTTGCTCAAAAAGCTTCAAAATAAAACAGTCCTCACCTTCAACCATAAAATCAGTGCTAAAGCCATGACTCACAAGGCTGAAGTCTCTGTATCAGCTTTGTGTTAAACCTTAGGGTTAAATTCATGGTCAGTTAATTAAAAATTGCAGCCATTAGTCTCATTTTATTAAAGTTACAGGATTTAAGTAATGTAAGATAGAAAACCTGCAGTGCATCTGCACGAAAAGCTTTGTGAGCTCCAGATAAACTGTATATCACAAATTTGCAAGCAGCCATTTCAAATTGATTGCACATCTTCTCAAGTAGACTGAGTTAA